ACCTCCAACACTGCCAAAGAAACGGGCTTTTCGTAAGAAAAAGCAATGTTCTGAACGTACTAGGGCAGTAAACTCGAAGGAAATTGGTTACATACCCTAACCATACACAACATGCGTCTATGATTACTAGCAACACCCCTCCTCCCAACATGCATTATTCTAACGAAGGACAAGTAGACTCATCGTTCCATCGATTCACATTACTCTCAAAACCCGCAGTGACCGGCCACATAGTTAACAGACTGTACATAGAGCAGGCGCCCATTTGGAATCGACTTGTCTGCATCCGTTTCGATACAAAATGATTATCCTCAGATTTATTCTCCGATTTCTTAGTCATTAACGATGGGTTCCCCCCAGCCAGAGGCTTCCAACCTTCTCCAACCAAAATTTGGTAAACAACATGGAACGAGCGCCGCTCTAGGGGATGTATCCCTAGCTTTAGCTATAAGGTGTTCTTTTCCGTTCTGATTTTTGTTTTAAGGATACAAGCTGGCTTCGGATCACGTCGGGGTCACCAATTGTCCGCGTACAATTGATAATGTGACGTCTCTCGAACCTAAATTTATGGAGACGGATTTGATAGGATAGCACTGGTTACTACTGCTCTTAGGATTGAATATGCGAGTTCCACGAAGCAGTAGTACAGAAGAAGCGATCACTGGAACAAGAGTTTTATTACCCTGAGGTTTCGGATTCCGTCGGGAATCCGAAACGTCAGAATAATAAAACTCTTGTTCCAGTGATCGCTTCTTCTGTACTACTGCTCTGTTCGTCTTCTAGCAGCAGCAATGGTTGTCCTAGTAACTCGGCCTCCGTGGGTGTAGCCTGGTACCTAAACACGCAGTGACCAGCCACATCGTTAACGAACTCGTTAAGAGGCAGAAGCCTACTGAGGCCAGACAAACACACGCCCATTTTCGTGGGATAAAACCGTTACTGTGCATATATTTTCCGATATTCTGTTTATTGGTGATTGTTTTTTACCCGATAAAATTTCTTAATCTTCTCC